AATCTTATTACAAAAATTCAGTAGTCAATTTAATTCCTAAGATTTTAACAGCATTCTTTAACTTTTCTTTTCACAAAAACCTACAATAATATGTTTTCTTACTCTGTGAGGTTGCTACCTAGAAAGTTTGCTTCCACAAGAATAGCTGCACAACTCAACATGCACTTCATTTAGCTTTTGTACAATGTTCCCTAAATAAACAAAGTATGCGTCTCACCCATTGTTGGAGGCTGTCTTCTACCAGACAAACCATAGTTAACACTCAAATTATTATGTCTTTGGATTACAACTCCCAGAATCCCCCAATCTGAAGAATTCTGAGAATTATGGTCCAAAGAAGTAACATTTCCAAGTTCTTAAGATCAAATCACAGTTTGTTGCATTCAGGTTTAACAAAAAGGTATACTTCAACAATGATATAAAGGAGGTTCTCATCTGCATGCCACTGTTAGCTCCTGCTAAAATACTGGTGTTCTAGCACCCCAGCAAATTCAGTGCCAATGTGGGAAATGTGCACCACATCTCAATTGATTAACTTGGGAGCACCATTTGTTTCAGGGGAAAAGAAACTTCTAAATTATCTCTGTAACATGCATGGCAATGCAAAATATTTATTGTTAAGATGAACATCATTGTCATCCACAAGCCTGCTCCCGCATTCTGAACATGCAGTACGAACTAGTGCCTGCATTCTGGTTTCCCCTGCCAGATTTCTCGTCTAAATCACCTCTAGCTTATTCCTCAGTGTTTTATTTTCCTTTTTTCCCCATACCTTCAGCTTAATTTTTTTTTTAAAAAAAACTAATTTACTACCAATAAATGTTATTTTGAGCTACTCTGCAGATCATGTGTGTGAAATAGCAACAGGGCACAAATAGCTTCCCATACTTTTCCACAAGCACGTGTGGCCCTTCACATATTACAGCCACTTTTATCTGCAAATCAACAGCAATTCTGTCCCAATAACCTCCTCAAACTTAATGGGGGGGGGGATGCTTGTTCATGACAGGGCCACAGAATCTGCTTGTGCAAGAGGTTTAAGAATAGGTAGGATATAACACTTCACAGCCTTCTCAAAACGTGCCTCTGCTATTTCTGTCCGTCTGCTGTCTAACGACACAGTCAGTACTACTTGACATTCACCAATCGTACGAAGTAATATCTTTATCTGAATACGAATGCAAATTGCAAGGGCTTTTTTATCCCAACATCCATTCTGTGGCTGCTGAATAGAGTGACCACATGTTCAAGGCTGCAAAGGAGTTCACTGACCTCCCTAATCATCTCTGCCATTGCTAGTGAATGACATACACAGTCAATTCTGTCTTGCCTCTCCACTTTCATTCATAAAAAAAAATTGACATTGTTCTTGGAGCAGTCCTGAGAAAAAGAAAAGGAGAGAAATTCAGCCCAGATGAGGCCCTCAGTATTTTCAGTTTGGATTCTATTCAGGAACAAGCCCACCATCTGCCTTCTTCCTGCTAACAGCAGAACACCTCCCTGTAGGGATGTTAGAATTTGCACCACCTCCACTAACAGCTAGTATTCATTAGCAAACATACACATACCTTCAGAATGTCTCCTTTCAATGCTTGTTTTATGTAGCTGTGCAAGAAGCACAAGGCAGTAGCTGTTACAACTTTCACAGCCCCGTGTGGAGAATTAGATCACTAGGGAAAAATGCTTCCAAGCCCCTTTATGGAAAATAAGGTCTTGGATGGCTGAACGTAAAAGCTCCTGAACAACAAGCTTCAGTAATGAACCATACTCCATGGCCCATTTGACCAGGAGAAAGTGTTTGCTTGTGACTGTGCAATTGACAGATTTAAAAGTAAGCATTTATGTTGTGCTTGGCACTGAACTTGCCTTCCTTGCGCAAACCATTCAATAAACCCTTTTCTCCAAGATAATTTTTATATCTCTTTCATTCAAAATTAGGGAATGGCCAGCTGAACACCACAAACTGTCCTCAAAAAAGTATACTAGCAACTCTTTCCTGCCAAAACACACACACACAATAAAAAGTTGAAATAACATGGTTAGTACAGCAAATTCTTGCTCGTGTTGCTAAACAACTGGCAACCAATGCAAATCCTATTTTACATTTGTTTTCTTCTGTATGGGCCTTCCTGCTTTTCCCATCTTTTGTAATTTATTCTGTAGGGGCTATGCAAACCTACGCTCAGCAAACTGCACTACTACATCCCCGTCTTAAATACATTTCTTTGAAACCAATTATACTTACGCTAGCAAATCCTGAGTACACAGTGGATAAGAGTGTACGTTTTTCTCAGTTGGGGCCATTTTACATCTTACACTGCAGCAAATTTGAGTTTGTTACCTTATGGATACCTTTTATGGCACAGAATTGTGCCACAGCCAGTTCTGCCTCATGGTATACCTGTTTATATGTTTACATTTAAGTATACACTTCAAAAAAAAAAATCAACACACCTATGTTGCCCTTAGATTGTATAAAGGTACAAGTTCCTTGTGCTGACTTTACAGAGCTCGATGCACCTTTATGTTTTTGGAAATGAAAAGAACAGAAAAGTACTATTGTCATCAGCATCTTTGCTAATTCTGTTTATTCTAAGGTACCTTCACTGGGTGTTTCTGTATTAACATGCTGAAAAAAACTTTACTCCATCTAAATAGCTATTTCTTAACAGCTGAAGTCAACGTAAGTGTTTCTCTGTTTCCAACATCAGGAGCAGTACAAGTGAGCTAGCGAACAGAAAGCCCTGTTCTGAACACATTTGTAAGTTCTGCTCTGTTCAGTAAAATCTACTTAACGTTTATACAAGATTACTCCTGCAAATATGATATTCTTATAAAATGACACAACTTTGTTGAACAGAGTCTTGACTATAAATTTCAGCAGAAATGCACTAGTCTGAACAGCTCTGCAGAATTGGGACCCATTTTATAAGTTAGGAAGATAACATTATGCTACTTAAAAAAATAAAGAAATCTGTTGATATGTATGAATGCCTGATATATTCCTCAACCTCAAGCTACTTGTGCCACTTGACAAATAAACTTTATCTGCTTTGTCGAAGCTGCTTAGATACTGCTTTGCATTTCAGCTAATTTGGTTATAGAAAAATCAGCCATGGAGATTCTAGCATTTTATTGAAACTTCCTTCAAAACAAAACCATAACACTGGGTGATTTACCATTTTAACCATAAAGGATATAGAAACAACACTCACCCAGCGTGAGTGGCCATGAAACACATTTATCCCACCTGTCATTTTTCTGAGGAAGTACTGTATGTTTCAGCTCTTTTCCAAGCAGTGGAAACTTGATGCAGATAGAAGTTTTGCAAAAGAAAAAGATTCTATCGTTCATTACACCTATTTTTCTATATAGTATATATATATATATAATACAACTGGCAGCACTGCACTGTAATTCTATACTTAACAAGTAGCAAGTCTCACTGTTTTCAGCAGGACTTACTTCCAGGGAAATGTGATTACAGCCAATAGCTAAAGAGTATCAGAGCAAAACCAATATTGTATACGGACCTTTCAAATAGCCTTTCCATGAAAGATTTATTCTATTTTGTGCATATCAATGACAGAAAGATACATCTGAAGATTCTAATTAATTTTCTCCCAATATTTTCACAGTGAAAATAACTTTCTGCAAAGACCTTGCACCTTAAAAACTGATGTCACAACAAATGGAGACAGTTAGGTGCTTGATACATTTAGCATAAATACATCTTATTTCTTGTTCTTCAAGGCCCCAAACTCAATCCTGTCCTTCCCGTGTGCTTTCAATACTGCCACAGAGTGAAAAAATACCAAATGCAAAGCATCACACACATATTACACATGAGATTAGAAAATGGGCTTGCATCAATGGAATGCGTTTCATTTTTGTGTCATGTTTAAATCTACTGTTTCCAGGTTAGACGATACATGTTGTTATATGCAGCCATAAGCAACTGAAGATATGTACACAGCATCTGCCATTTGTTTGATGGCAATGGAAAGTACTCCTCATTATTGGAGGGGTTAACTTTGATGAGCAGCAATCTGGTGGATCCAGCCACAGTTTGCAAGCATTCCATGGTAAGCAGATACTGCAGACTGCTCACTCAATGGAGAAGAGAGGAATGGTTCTGTCTTTTGGTACAGAAAGAGACAGAACCCTGCACTTTTCAAAGACCAAATTCCAGAGGAATGTTTGTGTTACCCTTTCAGAACAGCAACAAAAACAACAACAGGAGTCCAGAAATACTGTAAGGACCAGCAGCTATTGCTGTAGAAATATTCATCCCCAGCTACTTTTTTTTTGACAGGCAAGGGACTACAGCAAGAGCCATCACACTGATTCCCCTCAGCAAAAGGCCAGAGAAATAGGAGCAATTTTATCTCTATTGAAGTGATAGAGAAAGTGCACTCCATCATATTGCTGAATTCATCACAGGTGGGGTCGGGGCTGGCTGCAGTATCTGCTGCCATGGCTAAGGAAAACATAAAGGCCTCCACATAACCTGCGAGAACCAAGTTAAAAGCTGAAACTTCTGAAGAGAAAGTTTCTGAAGAGATAGTAAGAGACAGTTTGGGCACCCAAAGCTTGTTTCAGGATACATGCTAGGCACCATTTAGTATACACCACAGCAGACTCAAAAGCACATCGACAGTATTCATGTATTTCAATGGTATGGTCTTTCATCACTACAGAATTATATCTGCATGCATTTTCACATGGGCTAAATCAACATCAAATGCACCATAAGGTTTTAGCCATGGAAAAAGGTAAAACCTGAAGTGGGCAGATGAAGAAAACACACATTGAACGGGAACAGTCTTCCCTGCTGCCTTGGCTCTACCGCCAGGTTTGCCCGGCAGAGTACAAGCAAACTGTTTATGTATTAGGACCGCATGTGTGAACCAAGGTGGCAGCAGAGGATGAGCTCTGCAGGAGACTTCAACCAAGGTGGCTTCCAGAAGCAACCTTCCTGTCCGCACAATCTTCCTTACCTGGTGGCTCTCTTGTAAACCGCTCTTCAGGGTCTGAAGCAGGCAAGTTGGACGCTGGAAGGCTGCTGACAGTTGCCAAAAGGAAAAAGCAAGACAAAGTTCCCCACAAAGCAATCATTCCTCTTCTATCGCTCTGGGAAAGCCAGCCTTGGATAGTGGTTGTCTCACTGTGGTGGCCAGCCTCAGCCATCCTCCAGATGCATGCTGCCTCTTCAAGCTGGGGTCTCTTCTTGCTATCCCCCCCAGAGTGTGGCTGGCAGTGAAAAGGAACCACGGAAAGAGATCATGATAATCATCATCATCATCATCATCATCTAAGACACAAACCTGCTAAGTTTTGTCAGCAGATGAGTGCAAGGAAGGCCACCAACCGAGGTCTCCTTCCTTTCTGACGTTACTTCGTGTTTTGGAAAGGTGAGGCTTGAAAGCCAAACACATTCGGTTCAAAATGAGGTGCGATTTACGACCGGTTCCCTCCTGTCATTACAGCAGGTTCTGAGCGTCACTTGACATTTCTGTCACGTCCCGCGATTTATACTCTTGTGAGTCCACTCCGAACTCGACTTGCCCTCACGGCAACCCCTCGAGGTTGGCCCCGCTAGGTTGCCGCGACTTTCCCTGGAGAGAACGGAGCCCGAGAGCCGAGACCGCGCGCGACGCCCTCAGCGTCTCCCACAGAACCTGCCTGTTTCCCGGCCGGCGCGCCCGCTCGCCCGCGCTCCCTTCCCGGGCAGGTCCTGCGAGCTTCCCCTCCTCACCCGCGCGAGCAAGAGCGAGCGCCTCCGGACGCAGCCACGACCCCGAGCTCTGCGGGGTCTTGGAGGGACTCCAGTCCAGGGTCACTCCGAGGTAGGAGCCATCCCTCCAAGCCGCCGGAGGACAGGGAGGCTTGGCTACGACACCAAGGGGGGAGAGTAAGGCGGGGGGGGGACGCCCCTTCCGCTGCACCTACCTGCAGCGACGCGGCTTCTTGGGGCTGCGGCTGGAGCCCTTCTGTTGAAAGGCCACGGCGGGCTCGCTCCCTCTCCTGCCTCCCTCCTTCCCTCCCTCCTTCCCTCGCTGCCCCGCCTCGCTGGAGGGGTGGGGCCGACGGGCCAGCGGTCCCCTGGAGCGAAGAGGAGGGCCGCCCTCTCGCCCGGGTGACGGCCGGCAGAGGCAACTCTTACCCTTTCCACCTTCGTCCCCCCCCCACCCCCCGTACACGGAGGCGCGAAGAAGGCGGCGGATGGTGGGAGAGCCGACCGGAGCGCGGCTGGCAGCTCGTCGAGGCTAGACCGAGGAGACGCGTCGTTTCCCCCGCTCTTTTCTGCCGGTGTAGCTGGCTGGCTGGCTCAGTGAGCGCGGCCGGCGGCGAGGAGCGCCATCCCCGTCTGTGCCTCCTGGGAGCAGAGCCCGCCTGTGTGGCCTTGGGCGAGCTGCGTCGCCCCAGGGCGGTCCCACAAGGCGGGAAGGGCGAGCCACTCCCGAAACCTCGCTCCCTAGAAAACTCTGAAGCGGGTCGCCGTAAATCAGAGTTGACTTGACGTCACATCATCATCATCATTTGTTATGCCCGGGTGTTTATATAGATTTTAACAGAGTGAGGACCAGCTAGGGCGCGAAGTTCCGTCCCGCCTGAACTTTGCCTTGAAAAGCTTTCCGAACGAGGCTGCTCTCTCTTGGGGACGGCTTTGGCAGACGCCCAGCTTGGGCTGAGTAAGACATTTCACACGCACAAGTCGGCAAGCCCTCCGGCGGCCGAGAGGGCAGGGGCGCGGCTGGCCGGCCTCCAGCACGTGGCTTGCGTCTCGGTCGCTTCGCTTCGCTTCCCCTCCTCGCCGCCGCCTCTCCCCCCGCCCCGCGGGCTCTGCCGCTCGTCGGGACACACCCTCTTTTGGACGATGTGGCTCCTCCGGCTCGACAATCGAGCTGCAGAAGCTGGGCTGGTGTTTCGAGAACATTGGCTCCCCCCGCCCCGCCGCTGACTTCCTAAGCGCCTCTAAATGCCTTTCTGAAAACTTGAAAATTGTGGACCAGCTGTCAAAGTAGGACATGTCGAAGTAGCCAGACCTCGTTACAGTGGTGCCCCACTAGACAGTTACAGTTTTTTCGCTAGACATTTTTTTGCGATCGCTCTAGCGATTCGCAAAACAGTAATTCCTATGGGAGAATTTCACCGGACAATGTTTGGTCCCTGCTTCGCAAACCGATTTTCGCTAGACAATGATTTTGACAGTTTCCTCCGGGCTCGCAAAACAGGTGTTTTCGGGACCTAAGCTTTGCAAGACAGCGATTTAAACAGCTGATCGGCAGTTCGCAAAGCAGCTTTCCTATGGCTGATCTTTGCTAGACAACCACGATTCTTCCCCATTGGCACGCATTAAACAGGTTTCAGTGCATTCCAATAGGGAAATGCTTTTCGCTAGACAATGATTTCACTAAACAGCAATTTCAGTGGAACGGATTATCATCTTCTAGCGAGGCACCACTGTACTTCAGATTAACTGAAGGTGGTGAATGTCAAACCCCAGAACCAAGTTCGCTGAAAATAAGTGTCTACAAGCCTGTTCTGGGAGACGGCGACCTTTTAAAATAAGTCTTAAGCCCTAGTTATACAAAAAGTACTGTAATCAGTAATGATTATTCAGCCAGATTAATTACCTTTCAAACTGAACTAATTTCTGAAAATGACCCGTCGATGACTATATCATGGTTAAGCAAGTCACAGAAATTTTCATGGAGAACAGCGTGTGTGTTCAGCTGTACTGTTAGGATTTTGTTCTTGGCAGCTATTAACATGATAAAGACAGAGCAGCTTAGATAAAAATCAGCAGATCTTACTGATTAGTCTAAGCTGCATTTCATGCTTACGTTAATCATGTAGTGTAAGCAAAGTATTTCAGAGTGGCTTGGTCTTCACTAGTTAATTAAGACCCATTAGCTTTACAGAAAAACAAAACTGTTCCTTGTGGAAATGAAAACCATTACAGTTAGTGTGTTCCTATATAGCAGGGGTCAACCAGGTGTTCTTGGACTGCAGCTACCAGAAGCCCCCAGTCGGCACAGCTAGTGGTGCAGGCTTCTGGGAATTGCAGTCCGAGAATACTTGGGTTACCCAAGGTTGGAAACCACTGCTACAGATGAATAGAGTTGTGATGTGCAATCCTCGTTGTGCCCTTCCCTATAGCCACACACCCCAAGGAATTTTTTTAAAACCGAACATCTATATAGATCCTTATTAACCTTCCAGGTTTCTTTCCACTGGGGGCTGGTGTTTTGAAAAGCTAATGGTTCTTAACGACTGTTCAAGACCAAGTCACCCTGAAACAAGTTTAATTAAAGTCAAGTTGGCTCTCAGGCATTCCTTCTGTCCTGGGCTCCACCCCAACATATTACTTAATAACTCCAGCATTTTCCACTAAATAATTTATTTTTAACTTCATTAGGAGCATTAAGAATGTTGCAAATCCTGTTCACAAATTGTCTCAAGTAAAGAAGGCAGCAAAGACATTATCTGTTGTGCACATAAGATTTTGGACGTTCTTAGCACTCATAATGAAATACTGTATTGAAGATGCCGCAGGCTGTGTTTGAAACACACTCATGTACCTACATGTTACTACAGTATGTTGACCTACGTTACTATATGGGACAGCCTAACTAAAATTGGGGAAATGGCTAAATTCCGAAAGTAAAATGTTAACACTTCAGAAGGAATGCATTCCTACGACACCTCGGCGCAGCTGCTACTTATCTAGTGTCAATCCCATTCCCTGTTCTTGATTGTTTTCCTGATTAATCACGGCACCATCACAGTCTGTGACAAGTATAGGTTTTCTCCCCACTGCTCCAACAAATCTGAAAAGGCAGCAGCGATCAGTTGCTAGACACCCTTGTTAAGATGGCTTGTTGCAGCAATTTTTCTTTCTGCTGTGTGCCGTCTGAACTAACTGGCCAAGAAAGCATCCTCAGATTTTTCGTATGCCATAAGAGGAGATGCAGTTGGGATCAGACACATCAATTAAATTTCCTTTCTAAAAATCTGGAGTATAATTTCCTCAATTTTTTTGGAAAGTGTGAGGAAAGCAAAAGCATATCTGGTTTGACAGATATGTGACTGGATCTCAGTAATGCCTGACAGATGTAAAAACGTAGGCCCAACCAGAGAGTGTCTGACCAGGACAGTCGCACTGAGAGAGAGAGAAAGCCTTTAGCCTCTCCTCTCTCTGTACAGCTGTCCTGACTCATGATTTAGCCGTGCCCCCCCCCAGTGCTGCCATGAGCCTTAGGCAATGGGAAGAAAACAGGCACGGACCAAGTACCTAGTGTTTCGTGTGTTGGTTGTGGGCACCAGCAGAGCTAATAGCAGCTTGAAGAATTGGGACAATTTTGATCAGGAAAAGGGGAGAAAAATGTTAACTGCTCTTCCCCCTCTGCACTTTTGCCCCAGTTCAGTTCCAGCCTCCACCCGTGCTGCTCAGAAACAAACACCATGAGCCTGCTGAGTCATACTTGTTTGGGGCTGCAGTTTCTTTGGTCCTGATGACTCTGTGAAAAGACTGATCTGGACTGATTCCTAAGAGGCCACCCTCAAACACCAAAAGAAATGTGCTGCTGCTGCTGCTCACTTTATCAATGCAATATGTCAGTACTTTTTTGTTTTGTTTTTTTGGTCAAGCAGGAATCTTCTCTGCTTCAGAACCTAAAAGAGACAGGGCGTGGGCAATGAACAGCAGCCAAAACACCTCAAAGGCTAGGATGCTGCTGCTGGGTTGGAGAAACAGTTTTTGCAGGGAACCCAGCCTTTGACATATATATACTGTATATATATATATAAACACACATCTATGTCAAGGGCTGGGTTCCCTGCAAAAACTGTTTCTCCAACCCAGCAGCAGCATCCTAGCCTTTAATAGATATTTACAAATCACATTGCTGCTGTAGCCCTGAAGGCAGGCAAAATGATGTCACTGGAAACTACCAAATAAACAAACAAAAAGAGACAGTGGAACCAATTATCTTGAGAGGTGGTGAGTGCTCCAACACTGGAGGCATTCAAGAGAAACTTAGACAATCCACCTGGCAGATGCCCTTTGATTTGTATTGCTTTATTGAGCAGGGGGCTGGATTTGATGGCCTTATAGGCCCCTTCCAACTTCACTATTCTATGATTCTATGATCCCACCCTATAAGCCAAACATAATATTCGACATAATTGTGCTGAAAGTTCAGATCTACTCACAATTAGTGTTAAAATAGTTAACATAATAGGAACAGTGACAAACATGACAGAAACAGTGGGGCAAATACTTTGTCCAGTAACTCCTGAAACTGCAAAAAAAAATCACTCATGTTCTGATTATCTCCTGTTGGCAGTGTGCATATGTCACAATCAGAGATAGGCACAAGCTGCAAATATGCTGGTTCATGTAGCTTGTGTTCTGTGGCTACCGATGTACCACGAAACATCCGAATATTAAAAAAAGAACCACAAACTGTTCCATTTTTAAAATACCACCATCACCACCACTGCCATCTTGAGAGACAGCGGCCCAACTTCCCTTCCAGAAGCCAGACATACTGCCTCTGAACATGTGCCTGCCTATCAGCACATGCACAGAAACTGCAGGCCCAACTCTTGGAAGGAAAGCCAGACCTGCTGTGTCTCAAGATGGTGGTGGAGAAAGGGGAGGAGGCAACAAGACCGGGTAGGAAGGCAACGGGGACAGGAGGAAGGGGGTGGAGGGCAGACTGTAGGGGCAGGGGAGACAAACCAGGAGGTTTGTTAAATCATTTTAAAAACCCTGTGGTTCAGGTTGGTTCAGGTTCATTGGTTTTGACCAACCTGAACCAACAAACCAGTGATTTTTAATGAACTTCCTAGTTTATTTTTTTAGTTCGTGCCCTTCTCTAGTCACAACCTCTGAGTGCTAAACCGCAGAGTGGCTTGACTGCACATAAGGTGGTTTATATTGGAACATCATGTGGGAGGGTCCTCATTGGTGCCCTGGACCCACAGCCAGGGGCAACTTGGGAGAGCCATTAGT